CTGCTGCTGCTGCAGTGGCTCTTGCTGCATCTGCTGCTGCTGCTACAGCAGCAGCAGCAGCAGAAGCAACAAACGTAGCATGCATAGATTGGAACTAAGCTCGAGCAGCGACGGGGCAGCAGCAGAGCTGCTGCTGCAGCGTCTGCTGCTGCTGCTGCTGCTGCAGCTGCTGCCCCTGCTGCTCCCGCGGGGCTAGGCCAGCACTTCTACTACTAAATAAATAATATTGTGATAAATAATTTTATTTACAATATAAATATTATTTTTATTGATTATATTACTTTAAACATAAATAATATTATGAATAGTAATATTATTTACAATATAAATAATATTATTATTAATAGCATTCCTTATAATATAAACAGCCCGATAATTTATTATATTATTATTATTATGAAGAAGATTGAGACTAATAATATTATTAACATTATTAATACTCATATGATTAACAATATAATATTGTTCATAGAACAATTAACACCGTAGTTATATTATATAAATATAATAGAATTTATAAAATAAATAATAAATAATATTTTAATATTATTTATTTTATAGTTAATAATGTAAATAATGATATAATTATCAGCGACCGATGACTCTTTTGTCTCCGTCTTCATAGTGGTGAGCTTTGTAAATGCGGCTTATAATAAATAATATATATATATATATATGTATATACATATATATATATATATTATAGATGCTTTCTTTGCTCTCCTCTTATATTCCACGTCGCTGGTCGCTAGTCGATATCACCTATCGAGCTAGCTAGCTGACTAGCTAACTAGCTAGCTGACTAGCTAGCTACCTAGCTAGCTAGCTAGTCGGCGTGTAGCAGCATATGTGCAAGGCATTGCGGTCACCTAACTATAGACAACGCGTTCAAAACAACTGTCTATATATCAACCCACCCAGCTAGCTAGCTAGCTAGCCAGCTAGTCAGTTAGGTGAGGAGCTAGCTAGCTAGCTAGCTAGCTTGTTAGCTGAATAGCTAGCTAGCTAGCTAGCTAGCCAGTTAGCTGAGCAGCCAGTTAGCTAGCTAGCCAGCTAGGTGAGGAGCTAGCTAGCTAGCAGAGTTTGCTAGCTAGCTAGCTAGCTAGCAAACTCAGTGAGACGTCTCGGGCGAATGTCCCTCTTAATTTCGTCAAAGGCAGGTGAGGGTTGCGGTGCCTTCTTCAGAAGCAGCAGCAGCAGCAGCAAAAGCTGCTGCTGCTGCTGCAGCTACAGCCAAAGCGGCGGGTTCGAACCGCTGCAGCAACTACACCAAAAACTGCAGCAGCAGAAGCAGCTGCAGCAGCAGAAGCAGCAGCTGCAGCTGTAGGAGCAGCTGCAGCAGCAGAAGCTGCAGCAGAAGCAGCAGGTGCAGCAGCTAGAGGAGGCGCAGCAGATGGCTAGGCGACCTTCCAATTCTTTTTAGTGACGACTCGTACTTTGGGTTTGATGGGGCTAGCTGCTGCTGTTGCTGCTGCTGCTGCAGCAGCAGCAGCAGCAGGTGTATCTTGAGCTTGCTGCTGCGTCTGTTTAATAGCAAATGCGTCTTCTTGAAGATTGTAGAGGTGAGAGAAACGAGAGAAATTAAACAACCAGTCAGAACGCGTATTCGTAATAAAGAAGCCGGGGTAAGGAGGCAAAGGTAGAGATAGCTCTGTTCAATACAATAAAATAAATAAATAAATAAATAAATAAATAAATAATAAATAATAAATAAATAAATAAATATATGTATATATATATAGATGTATATATTTATATGCGCATATAAAACAAACAAAGACAAAAAACTGAAGAAGAAAATATATTTAAAATCTTTAAAAATATTTATTTATTTTTAATGTATCACTGACGATACACCGCAGAAAAACTAAGACAAATAAACAAATAAAGATAAAATGATTAAAAAAATAAATTAAATGCGACAAAGTACTCAGACGACTCAAAGACAGAAAAGATAAACAAAAATAAACAGAATAAAGGCATATGAATACAATTAAATATGCAAATAAAGAGAGAGACACCCCAACAAGCATATCAGCCACACTCTGCAGCAGCAGCAGCAGCAGCAACAGAAGCAACAGCAGCAGCAGCAGCAACAGCAGCAGCAGTATCAACAACAGCAGCAGCAAAACAGCAGCAGCAGAAACCTTAGCCTCATCTTCATCAGCAGCATCAGCAGCAGCATCAGCAACAGCTCTTATTCCTCACCCTGTACAGGAATAGGTATTGAAGTTAGATGTTTTTGCTGCTGCAGCAGCTGAGCTGCGCATACACCCGAAGGCAGTGGAGGCACAACAACTGCGAGGCGCCCGCAGTCAAAGCGGCATTCTGCGCGATTCCAATCTGCAGGCCTGAGCAAATTAAACAAGTAAATAAATAAATAAATAAATAAATTAATTAATTAATTAATTAATTAATTAATTAATAATAATGTGTAGTAATAATATGTAGGAAATAATTAATCATTATAATGTCTTAATAATTAACTTAATGTTTATTTACTATTATTATTGTTTAGTACACCCCATATATATATATATATGAATAGATATATATATATATATATACATGAATGTATATATATATATAT